ACTCACAATATTTCCAGAACCTGAAAGATCCCGCCTTCCAAGTTGGGAAGTCTTGATCTTGAAATCTCCCAAACCAAACCATCCAAAAATAGTTCCCCAAAAATCCAATGCTTTTTGGCCATATTTTGGGGTTCATCTGCCACAAACAGACCGGGCACCTCCCATTCAGACAGCTCGCAGTCGATGTCTTGGATTGGTTCATCACAAGGTCCCGTCTCTTGTGTAGGGCCCACACAGGGCTGACCTCTTGCGAGAAAATGGACAAGTGTGAAATTGCAAAGTCACTGAGCATTGTTGAGATTTCCTGAGGGATACCAATGAGAAGTTGAGATGTTATGTCTTATCTGGTTCACGTCTTATTTTGGGTCATACTGTCGGACCTATATCATACGAGCCACAAGTGAACAAATCTTGTCACAAGTACTCATGCAAGAGGCATCTGACACTGCTTCATTTCCAGGAATACTGAATAAAGAAGCCAAAAAAAAACTCTGCAAGAACAAGAATATTGCTCCTGACATGGTGTGTGTGTGTGTTTTTTTTCCAAGTATCGGGGCACCCAGCCTCATCCTCCCGGTACTCCATAAACACCAGCTCTGTTGGTGTGAACTACAGCAACTTTTCCACGGCTTTTATACCAAATTCGATAGTTGATTGGTAATATCATGTTATATCTCATATTCCATTATCCTCATCAACTACAATTACCCTCTTGTAATTTAAAATAGCTATTTACCTCGTAAAAATGGTGGCATTCCATAGCAAACTGTTCAAATACCAGAATTGTCCCGAAGGTATCATCATTTTCCCAGTTACATCTCATTATATTCTCTATACCACTAGTTTAGATGCCCATTTACATCATTTACCAAAGGCTATATCTCGAGCTTAAAGATCCACCCTTTGCATGGCACCTCCGTTCACAGCGGCTTGCTTCACGTTCCGACTTCGCATCTTCTGTCCACGGCCACCTGATGAACCCCACACTTGGTGCTTTGTTGGGGTGGAAAAAGTGGGTAGAAAAATGGTATCCTGCTTTATTTCCCATATCCCATAATGTGGTTTTTAGATGTTTTTCGCCAATGATATGCCATAAACCATGGGTCGACTATGGAATAACAATGGTTTAACCATGGAATAACAATGGTTTTATTATAAATAGTCACCCAATCATGGGAATGTAATCCCTTGCCCCAATAGTATTAAACAACCACCCAAAAACCAATGTAAAAAGTAGGAGATGAGACAACAGATTTGGAAACATTTGCGGGGATGCACAGTGTTCGGGGTCTGGTTACGGTACCTGTGCTTTGTCTGTTTTGGGGAACCCGTAAAAAAATCTGAAAAAGGTATCATTTGCCATTCTTTTAGCAAGAGTTTACCGGAGTCTATCTTTTTTGAAGTTGCCACAGTATATTATACGTACATATATGTACAGTGTATGTATATATATATGTATATCTATATGTATATATATTATACATATATATATATAGCAACTTCTTGATGTACAAATCGACTACAATTAACAAGGTCTTACATCTCCATTTTGGGCTACACCATTGTGCACTTGGAGATTGCTTATCACTCTGAGTAATCCCAATCCTATTGCTGGGTATGTTATTAATCCCATATGAATCTCCCATTGATATTTATATAATATAATTTATTATGGTATATCACGAATCCCATGAATATTTAACATTATATTATGGTCTATGAATATATTATATATATATATATATATTACATTATCTTACCATAGGCTAAAACGCTTACGTAGCTGTGGAAAATCGATGGTTTCGGAAAATCCTCTAGTTTTATGGTTGATTTTCCACATCTCCATGTTTTTTTAAAATATACCCTCTGGTAATTTAACATAGCTACTGAAAATGGCCATAGAAATAGTTGATTTTTCTATTAAAAATGGTGATTTTCATAGTTATGTTAGTTTACCAGAGGATAAACCTCCATTTTCCTATGGTTTTCCTATGGTTTTCCCATTAAAACCTCCATTTTCCCCTATGGTTTCCCTATGGTTTCCACATGTTATGAACAGCGGGGAATCTCCAACCGCTCGCCTTCGCAGGTGGAGGCATCCCAGCTGGTCCATTCATCGAAGAGACAATCGACAGGGTCCTCGCAGTCCTGAATGATGATGTCACCAGGGGTTTTAATAGGCTGTTGATAGGCTTTTTATAGGGTTATATTGGTTTTTATATTGGTAACCTGGTATATATAATTATATATATATATATATATGATTGTATATGTATTTGGTTTATATGATTATATATGTATTTGATATATATATATATGATTTAATAGGCTTTTTATAGGGTTATATTGGTTTATATATATATATGATTATATATATATATATATGTATTTATTTATACATATATAGGGTTAAACACTAGTTCATGGAATTTCATGGAAGTGGAATCTAACTGGAACGCTGAAACATTGGGATTTAACCAAAAAAAAACATTTGACAAACTCTAGCCAAACGGACATGGAATATAATTGGGAGGAGATTGATAACCAGCAATGAACTTATTGTCATCTAAATAAATCTAATGAGGAAAATATGGAAAATGATGAGCAACCATCAAATTTGATTGTACTGATTGAAGAGATTCCAACTGGGCCCCAAGGGGATTCTGCTCCGGATCATGTGGCTCAAAATTGAGCCAAGAAATGGACCCTGTTGCCAACAAGCCAGTATTTACCTAATTATCCTATATTCTGGTTGGTGGTTGACCTACCCCTCTGAAAAATATGAGTTCGTCAGTTGGGATGATGACATTCCAAATTTCCCAATATATGGAAAATAAAAAATGTTCCAAACCACCAACCAGCTATATTCCTCCAGATCCAAAAATTGTTCAAGTGCAAAATCTGAGCACTTCAAGCATGGTTTCCTACAAAAACACCATGCCACTAGCTGCTGCGGTGATGAGCTCCGCAGGATTAGCGCCAGTGGTTTTTGGAAAGGCTCTCTTGGAGCGACTGTCGTGATGTAACCCATGTAAGTACTACATAAGTATAACCGAATATATGATTGGGAATATTATATATATACTGGATTGCTGGATTATACATCCCCAGCATCTAGTCAATCTAGTCTAAGGCACTGCTACCCATCCGCGCCCCGTTCCTTGCGGCAATGCATGGTGCTGATCAACGGCCCATTACAGGGATCTCCACCGCAATGGTTCATCCTGTGGATCCCCCAGTCCCAAACGTGACGGAAAGAGACGTGGAAAACTCATGGTCCAATGGTACGTTAGTACCATATAAGGCGATATTTTCTGGGGGTATTCCCTGAAATTTAGGCCGAAAAAATAGGCCTTATATAACTTATATATGGTAGGTATCTCCAATAAATCGGTTCCTGAAATGACCATTGAAATGGTTTCCCGTTTGGAAAAAGATCTACAAATGGTGTGTGTTTTCACCCCAGCCGAGCCTGGAGATCACTCGGTGCCGTTCGCCTGAGAAATCGATGTGGAAGAAACCCTACGTACGTTCTAACGTGGCTGGGAGAAACCCATGGAAAAAGCATGGAGTTTGGCCCATCCCCGTAGAGTAGCATGTTTCAGCCAGCCGTCCATTAAAAATAACATAAAATGTCTATCAAAATACATCAAAATATCACAATCCCATAGTACCAAAGGCCTTTCTTTAAAAGACTATTTGAATCGAGCTATATTTAAAAACCATTTACATCCATTGAATCTCAAACAACATTCAAAATATATCAAACAATCAATATTATATATATATGAGCCCGGTCCCCGGACCCCCACACCCCCCCCCCGTGGCAGGGAATAATTGGTATAATGTGATTCTCCTGTTTTGGCACTTGTAGCAAGCTGTTGTACTTGTAACAAACAGTGTCAACTGGTCAACATGTCCTATCTTGATGTTTTGTTGCTGCCATCACTTCTAGTACACTGATAAATCTTATACAACTAATGTTGGCTATCCACTAGTGCGATGGACCTCTATTGTGGAAAGTTTTTCAATAATAATTCCATATCCTGAAGATGGTGGGGGTGGGGTTCTTTTGTGGAAAGATTTTTCAGATCATTTTTCATTTTCATTTTTTTTTCAGATTTTTACTTTTGTTTTTTTCAGATGTTTTCAGATTTTTTACTTTTTTTCAAGATTTGTTTCAGATTGTTTTACTTTTTTCTGTTTTTTTCAAACAATTAGGTGCCTTATTAAATCCTTATTAAAAAACAGCACCCAAATAATTTTTGAAGGGGGTACCCCATGAGTGGCCCAGATCCTCAATAATATAATTGCTTGCATGGTACCCTGTTGTGCACAACAGCTTTTGGGGTGAAAAAAGCACTGTTCAAGTAAAAAATGCCATTCCCAACCCAATCACATCCAACCCCTGTGCTCCACTTTTGTTAACCACAGAAATTATATAATTATATGGTTTAAAAAACACTGAGCTTTGCTCAGCACAACTGTACAATGCTAAAAGGCACTCACTTTGTCTCAGATGAGCTCAGTTTGGCTCAGTAGGTGAGGTCAATCATGGTGCAGCTGGGCTTGACGAGATAGCAGGTGCAGCTGAGCTTGTCTTCAGCAGCTGCTCCAGGTCCTCAGGGCCTATGCTGAGATAAGGTAGTTTCTGAGCCTTTAGCAGACTCTGAGTGCAAGTGATGCCTGAGGCACTTACATGCATCACACTCTAGGCAGCCTGACTGCCACCTGCAAACTTCACTGGGCGCATTTGCCTGAGCCAGCTTAGGCACAGCAGTGGCCAAACTAGGTTTCCAATTTTTCCAGCCATGCTCAGGCCAGACTGAAGGCCACTCACCCCTGAAAAGCCTCAGCCCTTGCTCCATGTAATGGAGCACATAGCAGCCACAAGCATTGCTGCCCACAGGCTGAGTGGCAATGTTGCTGAGGGGTGAAGCGTGAAATCAAGGTCAAGCAACCGGCCAATGAGGATCTGCTGAGGTTGCTCAGGGAGTCATAGTTGCCCAGGCCCTGCCCCCTGAGCTGCCAGCAAGGTCCAGTGAAACTGAGAATACACTGGAACCAAAAGAAGCTTGCAGTGCCCAGACCAGCTTTCTTGATGCCTTCCTTGAAGCACTCAAGCTGCTCAGGATGGCCCTCCACTTTCAAGGATCAACTTGCTGAGGATTGGGCCCACACAGTTAACACCTAAAACTTCTGGGAGAGCAACATTAGCCTTGTTAAAGCACCATCTGAGAAGGGCCCAGCCAAGCCAAAGGTGCTGATCCTCCACCTCAGGGATTTCTTTAGGGCATGGGAGCACTGTGTGGATACTCCACTCCTTTGGGCCCAAGCCAACCTCAGCTTCAGGGTTGCAGCTCAGCTGGCTGAGCATGAGGTTGAGATCTCTCTTGCTGAGCTGGCTCCACTTGGGCCACTTCACCATCAGAAGTGCAGCCTTAGAGCTCTTGAGCTCCACCCACCAAAGTCAGTGACACAGGTGTACATACCTGAGGTGCTGCCATGAGTGGTCCTGCCTGCTTGCCAAAGCTGAGCTTGCCTGCTGCTTCTGAGACAACAATAGCTTCCTGCATGAGAAGTCAGGTGGAGGCAATGGTGGATCCTCAGAAAGGTGCTGCTTGGAGCCAGCCTTGGCTGAAGCTTTAACTAATGCTGTTTTCTCAGAATGTTTCTTCTTGCTCTTGAGCTTGGCTGAGGGCTTGGTCTTGAGGGAAGCTTTGTTCTTGGTGGAAGCTTTGAAAGCTAAGCTGGGTTTGTTCTTTGCTTTGCCTTTCTCCTGCCTGACCTCATCCTGCAGCTCGGCCAAAGCTTCCTCTCTGCTCATGCCCTGCACTTTCTGAGCAAGTTTTTTGCACAAGTTTGTTCTTATGCTTCCTGAGCAGCTTTCTGAGGTTCCTCTGCCTGGCCCTCTTAGCTTTACTTTTCTCATTCATGCTGTGATACTCAGCAGCCTCCAGTCTTCTGATTTGGGCTCTTCTGAGGGATGAAGCCTCAGGGACAAGGAGTTTTGAAGCTCTAGCTCCAAGTCCTCAGCAACGGCATATAAGATCTCTGGCTGGAGCTCTTCCTCTGTGCAGCCCTTCTCATCCTCGAGATGGAAATAGTCCCAGACTTGGAGATCTGAGATGTGCTTCCAATCTGCCGTTGTAGGCACTCCCTCAGCATCTCTCCACTTGAGCCTGTCTCTGAGCCAGGATGGTACCTCTTGGTGCCAATGCCAAGATTCATTTTCTTGGCCCAGGGCTGAGGCAGCAGCTCCACAAGCTTTCCCGAGGCTGGGTCTGGTCTATAGACCAGGATGCCATTCCTGACTGCTGCTTTGAGGACCCACTCATCTTTGAGATTCTTCTCAGCCATTGCTTCCCGAGCTGACACAACTGTGGGCCTGCCACTGATTTCTCAGCTCAATGAGCTTGTTTCTCGCTAAAGCCTTGAATTGCTTTGCAAAATCAGTGTCAGTGATTTGCAACTTATTCTCAGCCACAAGGCAGCTTAGCTGATTTGCTAAGGCCATGGACTCAGTGGCTGAATCACTGGACACTGAAGAGAAGCAATCCGTCATCCAAATGGATGCTTGCGCCTGGATGCTCCAACTGAAGACAACTGAGTCCACATTTGATTCTCCCAGCTGAGCTTCCCCGAGTCCTGGTGATGAGCTTCTCACCCACTTTGAAGCTTTCATCACTGAGCCAGGTGCCACTCTCTGAGATGTTGCTCAGCCTGGCCCATCCACCTGGCACAACTAACAGCCCTTTGCCCACTGAGCCAATGACCTCCTGAGACTCATCAGCATAAACTGGGTGCAGGCGCTGCCTTGGCCTCATAGGTGATTCTGGACCCTGGCTGAGGCAAAGCTGGCTTGGCTGCTGGTGGTGAAGGGTGACTTGAGCTTGCTGCCTCTTGCTGAGGGCTGGCTTCTGCTTCTTGCTGAAGGCTGGCTGGGACCATTTGCTCAGCATTTTCTGGAGCAGCGCTGGCTGAGCCAAAGAAGCATTGCTCAGATTGGCTGGGCGGAGCTGGGTCAAAGCTGGCCTTCTTCACCAGAGAATCTTGCTCAGGTTGGCTGGCTGCAGGGCTGCTGGCTGATGCAAAGCTGAGCTGCCTCACTACTGGGGGATGTCTCAAAGCTCAGCTTTCTTTGAGGCTGAGGTGTGGCTGGTACAAGGGGCCCTATCATCATGTCAGGCCCAGCTGGGGCATGCAGCTCCTCCTCAGCAAAGACAGCTCTTCTCCCTGTAGCCTTAGCCCACAAAGGCACTTGATCAGAGAACCCAATGACCAAATTGGACCTTGCTGAGATGAACTGAGCTGGTGCTGAGCCTGTTGCTCTCAGCTAATGACTGCTGAGATGCACATGTTGCTAGCCACAGTGTGTGGTCAAACTCTTGCCAAGTCAGCTTAGTTCTGGTGTGGGCTTCTGTCTGAGAAATGCTTGCAACTAACTCAGTGGACATGTGCTTAGCATCGAGCCATTCGACTAGCTGAAGCTTAGATTTTTCCTGTAATGCTCAGTCTTGCAGATCTTCATTTTCCTGTCTTCCCATTCCTTAGCATCTCTCAGAAGCTCAGCTCTCTCCAGTGCAGATACCTCAGACTGCTGAGCTTTGCTTCTAAGCTCATTGGTTGTCAGCTGCAGCCTACCAAGAAACTCGGCAAGCAAATCCTGCTTAGATATTCTGTTGCCACATGCCCTTTCAATGCTGAGCCATTGCTTCATGGCTGAGGTGATGTCTTGAAAGGGAACCTTTCTGCCAGCTCCTGAGGCTCGCTTCCTCTTGCTCTTCTCTTTTTTCTCTTGCTTTTGAGATCTTTCTGAGCCACAAGCTCTTTCCAGTGCTCTTCCTTAGACAAGATGTTCTGAAGACTCTTCTTTTGGAGGCCATACTTTTCAACCTGAGCTTTCCAGAAATCCTTCAGATGGTTGAAAGAATTTTTGGCTGGCTTCATCTCTTCAATATATTTCAACTTAGTAGCAGCTGGGGTTTCAGTTCTTGTCACTTGTGAGCCTGGCTTTTTTCTGTTTGAAGATTGAGGGCTTGCTTTGGAAATCTCGCAGGCTCCTGCCTCAATGAGCTGAAGTTCAGTTGTGGCTAACTCAGCTTCTATCTCAGCTCTCTCTCTCTCTCTCTGTCTCTCTGTCTCTCTGATTGCTTCATTCCTTTCCCTGAGAGCATCTTGCTGAAATCTACTGAGCCTTTGCCTTTTGTAAGGCTGAACTTGCAGATGCAATGGCACTGCCCCAGCTTCTTTCTTCTGGCTTGCTGAGCCAAAAAACTTGCTCAAGCCATACTGGACCTTTCCTGATCTGGGTGGTGAAGACTCAGGGCTGCCAGTGGCACCCTTCTGGGGTGTAGATTCAGCTCCTCCACCTCTGGCTCCGACTTACTGAGCCACCTCAGTCAGCAAGGGTTTCAAATAATTAGATGCCTTATTAAACCCATATTTGAAAGCAGAACCCAAACGATTTTTAAAGGATGTACCCCATGAGTGGCCC